GCGGTGACGTCAGGGCGGGACGGAGAATCCCCTGCATGGGGAGGGGGGGGGAATGACGCGCGGTGACGTCACCGGGACCGCGGGCGGGCGGGCGGCGCCGCGCTGAGGGGATTGGGGATGGAGGGGTTGGGGATTGAGGGAATGGGGTGAGGGAATTGGAGATGTAGGGATTGGGGATTGAGGGATTGGAGATGGGGGGATTGGGGATGGAGGGATTGGGGGTGAGGGGATTGGGGATGGAAGGATTGGAGATGGAGAGATTGGGCATTGAGGGATTGGAGATGGGGGGATTGGGGTGAGAGGACTGGGGTGAGGGGAGTGGGGATGGAGAGATTTGAGATGAGGGGATTGGGGATGGGGGAATTGGGGATTGAGGGATTGGAGATGAGGGAACTGTGGATGAGGGGATTGGGGGTGAGGGGACTGGGGATATAGGGATGTAGGGACTGGGGATGGAGGGATTGGGGATGGAGAGATTTGTGATGGGGGGATTGGAGATGAGGGGATTGGGGTGAGGGGATTGGGGGTGAGGGGAATTTGGGGATGGAGGGATTGGAAATGAGAGGATTGGGGATGGAGGGACAGAGCTGAAGGGAATTTGGGGATGAAAGAAGAGAGGACAAGGGCACAAGAGGAAGAGGGGATGAGGGAATTGGAGGTGAGGAGACGAGGCTGAGGGGACACGGCTGAGGAGGATCAAGGCTGAGGGAATAGGAGGTGAGGGGACGGGGCATCAAGGGATTGGCGATAAAAGATTAGGGATGAGGGACAGGAATGAGGGGACAGGGATGAGGGCACACGGACTGTCCGCGATCTGCGCTGAGGCTCCCCGGCTGCGGGCCCGGCACGGGGAGGCATTTCCTCCCACGCAACCGACAAGAGGGGAAGAAAAACAAAAAACCCCAAAAGTTTGGTTTGGTTTGGGTTTGTTTTCTCTCAATTGCGAGGTGCGGGCACAGGAAGCGCGGGCGGCGGCAGGCGGAGAGGCACAGCCCCGTCCCTGCGGGCCCGGCGGTGGAAGCGAGGAGGAGCCGGTGCGGGAGCGGAGCCGCCTCGCCGCCSTTACAACAAACCGGCCCCGACGCCTTTGTTTGCAGGCGTGTGTGCTCAGAGAGAAAACACAACGGCGCTGCCGAACGGGGGCCGGAAAAAGAGCGTGCAGGAAAAAAAAAATCATACTCCCCCCTTCACCGTTCGATTTTAGGAGCCGGAAAGCACTAGATGATACTGTCAAAAGTGTATTTTTAAAGGATAGGAAACTGCCTCAATGACAGTTTTTGTCTGAACACGCTGTATGACTTAGCAATAAGCCCTGCCCTTTAGATAAAGCARAGGAAGACTCAAACCGTTCTTAATTGCCAAATAATTTTGATGAAATGAGCGCAGGCAAGGAGCTGGTGCACTTCGTTGCCCAAACACTTCCCATGATTATTTTTTTTTACTCAGAAGTCAACCACTGCACAGACAAGTGTAGGATGCGGTGGTGCTCCAGTCCTTGATTAAATCCGAGCAACCAGTCCCAGAAATCTCCCCATTCCCAGTTCCCTGTGGCTGAAGAGTTCCTATTGTGAATGTGTCACTGCAGCAGCAGCCAGCTGGCACGTCAGCATTTCCACTGCAAGCCTATTTTTAAAGGTCTGGAATTCAACCACAGAAGACAAATGTTTTGGAGTGCATACCAGGATTGTTTGTCCTTCAGAAAAGAAAAATCAGGTGAGGAAATGGAGGACCAAAGTCACAAGTGGTTGATGTCGACAGAGAATTTATGCTTTAAATATAGAACTGTTCAGGCTGGCTCACTGTTTTTGCTAGGGACAACTTTGCAGGCTGTTGGTGCACACAGAGCCATGTCCCAGTGCCTCTACTGGAGCCACTGGTGTGGATCCACCACGAGCCAAATGGTCAAATCTCCTGTGAGATTAAATCTGCACACACTTAAGCAGTGCCATCAGGCAGATCTTAATGTAAATATAAAGAAAATCAAGTAAGAAGTGATTTTTGAATTCCTCGGAGTGCTCAACCAGAACTTTTGTCTAAAACTCCTGTGGCAGATGCTGTTTTCCTACATCTGACTTCTCCCATTGCTCCAAATAACAGGCTGCAAACAAGTGTTCTGCATCCCCAGGGATTTGAGGAGTTCCGAGAAAAGCAATAATTAAAGGAGTTAGGATTGCTATTTGTGTCAAAGGATAGAAAAGGGAAATTATTATGTATGTAGACRTAAGAAAAAGTAAATTCAGAATTTYTKCTACTCTAGATCTCACAASCARACAAGCAAAAAGTATTCAATAAAAAGGCAATAATATGTCACTGAAATGTAAAAATTAGCAAGATCCCCCTCAAGTGCTCTTTCAGAGAGAAATAAACCATCAAAACACATTAGGAAATCGTTGATTTAGGAAGATCAGGCCCTCATGTCTTGGGTTTCAAATGGATATTTGGATATTATATACCTGGATATTATTTGCCCCTATTTCTAGAGCCTCTAATCTGCCTGTAGGGGTATCAGATCTCATTTGGTGCCCAGGTTTCAGCTGGGGTTATCACATCCCTGCTGTGCAATTTGCAGCTGAATATTTCTGACATTCCAGCATCTTCCTCTGTTCAGCTGGTTCTGCCCATTCCACCCCTCAGCAGTTCCTTGTGTGAGCAGCACGAGAACCTCTGAGGGGCTTTGATTAGATGAAGGTTTCAAAATAATCAGTTCCTTAATATATATTCACTTCAAAATTAATTCTACAGCATGGTAAAATTGCTGAGAATACTGAGCCTAATAGGAAAGGTATAATAATAATAATAATAGTAATAATAATAATGTTGTAATAAATTGGATCCGCGGACAAAATTCAGTTTGGTCAGTGTCAGTAAAATGAAATCCAAGCACCCAGTTGTCCCCTTGATGTATTTGCAGCCACCTGGCAGCATCCATGCTTACTTTAATTATTCAATTTCCTTGAAAAGTATCAATCACACATTTGAACATATGAACAACAGATTATTTATGAATTAAAACAACCCCTGCACATTTCCTGCATGTCATTCCCAGCAGGACATTTCTCAGAGAGGCCAATTACAGAAGGATGTTCCCTCTCCAGTTTTCTGTTAATTTGAATAAGATCGGTTCAGAAGAGTCCTGCAAGCTCTGTGTTTATTCACCCAGCAAGTTTTTCAAGAAAGGAAAAATAAGAATATTATCATCAGGCCAGTACCTTTTGTGCCCCTCCTTCCCCTAGTTGGTGACACTGAACCCAAATCACAGCTCGCCCTGGAAAGCTAAGCAGTGGGAACACAGGAATATGTGGATAGTGCTTCATTTAGCAAGAGCTCAGGAAGGAAACCGTGCAAAAAGAAAAGTTTGAAGGAGCTGCTCCTGCTTGTTTCATTCTGCTTTTACAGCACTGGTACCACCCTTGGAAGGGAACAGGAACCAATTTGGCTTTTGAGGCTTTGGTCCAAGGCAGGCTGAACTCCAGGATCAATTGCAAAGGTGCTTTTGGGGAGCACAGTTAATTTCTCAGRGTGAGTTTATCCAAGTTCATCATCATTACACCTCTAATCTGTTGTACAATACGATCCAAGCACATTTTCAGGGTCTCAGCAGCACAACCCTTCCCTGTTGTGTGGATGAATGTTCGTGGGTACAAAGCACGTCCTGTTCAAGCCACTCGCTCTCCTACGAGGAGGAAAAACAACTGTCCCGATGCMACAAAAATGTGTTCTTGTATCCTTGAGTCCCTGCCAGGCTCGTTCCAGAGGAGGGACTGCTGTACAGAGTGTGGGGAGCTCTCACATGGTTCAGTGAGAGTTGTAGCCATTAAAATGTGGAAATCCTCTAGGCACAGAGGAAACTGGTGAGGTCCTAAGGAGGTAAATACAGCAAGATTTTCACAATTTTGGACTGGTATCCCAGTACCAAACRTCTGTACACAGATTAAGTTATGGAACAGCATCGTGACAAAAACTTCAGTCAACGCTATGTTAGTCTCAATATGAAACAGAAATGTCAGAGTCCATATCCCACCCTGTATATTCTGATATTTAAAACATGCATCTAGAGCCAAGCTCAGGGACATGTGGGTATTCCCAAAGATGGGCTACCAAACACAGTTTGACCTTGTTTAACAGTTTCTTGTGTGCTTTGCCCCACCCTGTGAAGGCGAGAGGAGCCTCTCCCATGGTGAAACAGCCACAATCGCTCTTACGCTCTGTTGTGGTTCTGTCACCGTATGAAGTGCGAGGGAAGAGGCCCGTAGTGAATCCCTGCCTCAGCTTTATTCTGTTTCTCCATCTCATCTCTGTACTTTCGTAGCAAGGTTTTAAAAGCTCACTTAGGGATAAAAAAGGAAGCCAATTGGAGACGATGCTCTCGGATCAACACCTTAAGAAAGATCTACTATTTCATTCTCACCGTCAAAGCAAACATATTTTGGGGGATATTTTGGAACCACAGGACAGACTTAGCAGCAAATTTTGCCACATTTGTCCAAAATGAGCTCAAGAAATATCTCAGCCATATGGAAAATACAATGAATTTTTCTCTGCTGATCACAGTGCTTTGACAGTAGGGTATGAAAACTGCAGATAGGCACAGTGAATGAAGATTCTACTAGACTTTTTAATGTTTATATATACTTGTTTTCACTTAAAACCCATTAGTTTTCTTCTCTGTCAAAATACATTTTGAAATTAAATGTCCTGTAGTTTATATTTTTTTCCCCCCAAAGTTGAGTGAATGCTACAAAACCAGCCAACTGACACATCTCAGTTCTGCCCTATCCTCCAAGGAAAATCTCCAATTAAGGATGCAGTATCCTGTCTCCACGCTGGCCAGGAAAGCAGATGCCAGACAGAACCTACCAACAGGGTAAGCAATAGCTAAAAATACARCTCCAGATCTGTGTTCAGGCTCAGGCAATTCAGGTTCCATGAGCCAAGGGTGGAATCCTGCACAGAATAGTCTTGTTGGATATTTCTTCCATCAGTTTGCCCAAGTCTTCWGGAATATCTACATTTACAGTGATCCTAACACCTCACAAATTCCACAGCTAAACTTTATCACCAGAGCACCTCACCCTGAGCCTGCTGCTGAGTTGAATCTGATGTTCCCTAACCTTATACTGTAGGGGAGACAGATTAATCTCCCTCTCCATGTGGTTTGTGATTTTACCCATGGTCTATATCCCACCTCCACCATCCCACTGGACACTGCTCCRTTCCCCAGGATGGGGATTCATGTCCAGTCACTCGGAGCTGAAGGGTGGGGAAATTCCTGTTTCTCTGTATACATTTTCACTGCTGATTTGGAATAAACGTAAAATAGTTGTCAATAACGTGCACAAATTACGAAAAGAAAGGAAAATAGTGAGCAATCACCAGCTACCCAAGTCCTGTGGGAAAAGACAAAGGACTCAGAATACATCACAGGCCCACCACAAGGACACAGCAGGGATGGTGGAAGAAGGGGACTGGTTTTACATCCACGAGGAGCACTGCAGGGATGGGCACTCAGGATTTGTGTGCAGCTCTGGAGTTTGAGCTTAGGAAAGCCCAGCASAGACCACAGAAATCCTGCAGCCTCCACGTAATGACTCAGTGAAAATCCCAAGGCCCAGTTTCTTCCAACCTCCCTCTAAGGACTCATCACCAAGAATTTCTTTGGTAATTCCTGTCTTTCCAAAAACTACTGAAGAAAACATGACTGACTGAATTTCTTGTAGAAGCTCCCAAGGTTTGCTGAGCCAAGTGCAGTCAGAAAACGTAATTAAATACTGAAACAAGTCACTGCAGCAGTGTGCACACACCAACAGATGGCAAATCTACCACAAGCAATTGATCCTTTTTTTAAAAAACTGAATCTCACATACTTTTGTCTTTTTCCAGAACTTGCTTCGTTATATTTCTTCAAACCTGCTTTATCCTTGAAGCTGAAACCAAGCCTGAAAAATCCAACTGGAATTCAGAGTGAATTTCGCCTCRGAGCGCAGAATAAACCACCATGATGTTCCAATATGCAAATGTATCAACAATGATGAATACTTAAGGGATTGATTGCATCCAAAATCATCGTGATCTCCATCTTCAGGGAAGTTTTTGTGGCAGCAGAAGGTGTTACTTCTGCAGTGAGAGAGAGCCAAAGATGTTGCCAGTTCCTAACTTTAGCTAGGAGCCCACATACCATGCCTCAAGCCAGTATCCTAATCATCTCAGGTGAAAATTCTTCCCATTTTGGAAATTTATAATTAACTTCCTACTGAGCCATGCTTAGAAAAATGCCTCAACCTGAAAGATTAAATAGGAACTTAGTATCTGGCAGAAATAATTCAGCAGTAGCTGTTTGTGTCTTGCAGTATAAAGACACTGATTTAAAATTATATATTTAGAAGTTGTTTTCTCTTTATTGTGTAACCAAAGGACTTGAACTGGATGAGCAATAGCTGCATTGCTGGAGCAGGGAGGAGGTCAGAGAATGCCACTTCAGGAACATTRGTTTGGGTCTTCAGATAATTGCAGCAGCAGCAGCGAGTGCTGGACGAGTCCCCACTGCTGGAGGGATGGAGATCCACATCCCTCCAGCCTCTGGAGCTCCTGGGGGTCACCACAACMCCACTGCTTTTTCTTCTCCACTCTAACCAAGGTTATTTTCAAGCCATCTTGACTTTGCTCCTGTTCCAATTGGGGCACAACTTGACTCATCAGTTCTTTATTTGGAACACACATCACATTTCTGCACTTCATCAGTTCTGCTCCCACTGAGGTCACTTGTTTGTGGCCATTCAATACTTCCTGCAAGTGCCCAGCTCTCAGTTTCACCTTTTCCCACTGCCCTGTGCCTGGAGTCACCCTTCAGCCRAGGATGCTCTTTGCAGCCCTGTGACTTTGGGGTCAGCAGGACACAAGCTGAGGACATTCTGCAATACGTTTCAGAATCAGTATTTAAAGCCCAACTTCTTTTCCCATTAACTCTGGTGACAATATCCATAATAATTTCAATGGGAGCATGATAATTCTGTAAGTAATTGCTATCAGGAATTTAATTTAAACCTCATTTGACTGACATTTCTTGTTTGCAAGGTATCTATTTTAGGAACAATGTCTTGCTAGTGTATCTTCTTCATCTTAGTCATGACTGATAACAGAATAATCATCTCAACCACTTTCTTTTTCTTTTCCTGCATAATGGTTTTACTGCATTTTCACATAGCAAACATACAGRAATAGAAACAATTAGACAAATAACAGTATTATATGGAGATGAGCAGSTAAGTGACTAGAACTTACTTGAAACTCTTTCCTAGGCTGGATGTGAGGCTCAGAAGCCTCGAGGCACCACAGGGTTGTTGAAAAGACTAAAGAATGGTGCAAGTTACTCTAATTCATGTTTCTTGAAGCTGGGCTTATAGAGGTGTGTTAAATACCTCTATAAGAATATCAATATCTGGGGTGCCAGAACTCCAACCTGCTCCTGATTTCATTGCAAGAAAGACATGGAGGGGCTGGAGTGAGTCCAGGAATGGCTGAGGGAGCTGGGAAAGGGGCTCAGCCTGGAGCAAAGAAGGCTCAGGGTGACCTTGTGGCTCTGCACAACTCCTGACAGGAGCCAGGATGGGGTCGGGCTCTGCCCCCAGGGACAGGAGGAGAGGGAACGGCCTCAGGCTGGGCCAGGGGAGGGGCAGGGTGGACACCAGGAGGAATTTCTTCCCCAAAAGGGTGGTGAAGCCTTGGCAGGAGCTGCCCAGGGAGGTTTGGAGTGCCCATTCCTGGAGGTGTCTAAGGAAGGACTGGATGTGGCACTCAGTGGTTGGTGACAAGGTGGGGATCAGGTTGGACTCCACGATCCCAGGGATCTTTCCCAACCTTAGGGATTCCGAGATCCTGCTGCTCTGCAGGAGTTCCTGCCCGTCCTCCCTCTCTCCAACAGTTCCTCACTGCCAGCACATCAACACTGCCCCAGTCACACTGTGCTTCCCCAGGACGAATCTGAGGCAGCAATTGCCAGGCAATTTCTCTTTAATCAGTGACTTTCSTACAGGGAAATGCCACAAAACACTTTGCAGGTCATTACCTTGTTCTTAATAACCCACGGGGCAGCGAATGCTGAGTAAGGAAGGACAGGGTTCGCTGCTTCTTCCAGTCCTTTGTCAGGTTTCCTCCTTTGCTGTAAATCTCCAGGGACAAGCAGTTAGGAAGTGTCTTCAACAAGTTGACTTTGACACTGAAAGAGCTGCTTCTCCTTTCACTGAGGAGCTGTCACAGGCAYCGATGGAGCCGTGGCAGAACAGCTGAAAGTGGTAAAAATTGACAGACGAGCAGACTTTCAATGATAAGGAAAAAATCCAGAAAACTGCCACGTGAGARGCAGATTCTCACCGCCCTTAATGGGAGGGCTTTTAGGAAATGTTGTGAATTGGCTTCAACGAGAAACASGAACACTCAGCGGAGGAAACATCTCCCAGAATGAGGTCAGACTTGTAAAGAATGGCTCTTACCCAGCCCATGAGCAGAGCCACGGGGGGAGCGGTAAATCAGCTGTAAACACCAGGAATCGTTCTGCTGTGGTACATCAAACTCCCTAACAGAGCTACGAAAGCTCAGCTCCAGCCTGGTTTCAGTTTACATTTCATCGGTTCGTGGTGTTTTTAAGCAAGTTTAAAACATGTCATTCTGAGCATCAATATTTATCTCAGAAAAGGAGGAGGGACAAACCTTGGATTTTTTTTGCTGTAACAAACGGTGTGGTACCACCTCTGAAAGGCCAGCAAAAAGCACCAGGGCAGGACTCTCAAAAATAAGAGGATCTGCTTTTTTTTTAATACAAAACAATAATAAGCCTCACTTTTAAAATCTTCTAACAGTAATCTCGAGGAAATAAAGAAATAATGTTGGGWTTGTGTGGGAAGGAAGCAGATTTAAATCTCAAATGAATGACGTACCTTGTAATTACAGGAACCATTGAAAGAGATAGTCAGAATTAAAATAATTCCAATATTCACAGCRAAATATTAATTTGAAAATTTTCAAGGATGGATAAATGCACATAAACAGAGGCAGATGATCAAGGGCTGAAGTTCAAATTAACTCAAAGAAAGAAGTCAGCCTTGTTAAATGATATCTAAAATTGTCACTGAGCTCAGCAGCGAGGGCTTGAGGCAGCGTGGGGCTGGGCGAGCAGCAAGTTGGATTTACTGAGAAATTGTGCCTCTGTGAGTGGCACAACTGCCTTCCATCAATGCCTCTCTGAAGCACGTGAACTCTGAGAACGCTTAAAAATTTAAATTAAAACACCTTTCTAAATTTTCAATCACCAAACAATGGGTGATTAAGCACAATCATTAAGCTTGCAGCAACAGCAGTAATGTGTTTCTTCCGTTATGACAAAGCCCTCATTGCTTAACGCATTTTAATAAGACAGTTATAAGATATTTCATGTTTTTATAGACATTTTTGCACCTAGCTATTAATACTGGTTACTTGGCTTGCTAGGTGGAAGATGTTTTCACTCATAGATGATTCCATCTGTATTAACAGCTACAAATAAAATGATGAACACTTTTAATATCAATTAATGGCATTTTTTTAACCCAATGAACTCAATTAATGGCATTTTTTTGATTGATTGTATCCAAAATACCAATTAATGGCATCTTTTGATTGAGGGAGATTATTACCTGAGCACTGAACCAGCAGAAAACTCCCAAACCTCTTAGATAGGATTTCAACGGGATAAACACACTGAATCATTTTTCTGTCCATTTTCCCATAAAAATTTTCTCCACAAAGGATTTTTCCTCCTGAAACACCACACGGATTGCTCAGCACTTCCCATGTCTCCCATCGTGTCACTCTGATGGATCTGCTGAACCCACCCAGAGCTGCAGAAAGCTCAGGGAGYCCAAAATTGTCACTCCCAGTTTGTCTGGTTGTTTGTTTGACTCCAACCCTGCAGTTCTGGTTTCCTCCAAATCCAGCTGGAGACAGGGCTTGGAGCAACCTGGGATAGTGGGARTTGTCCCTRCCCATGRRGGGAACAGGGTGGGCTTTAGGGTCCCTTCMRACCCAAACCATTCYRKRTCCTATTRACACCCCCAAGGACCTAATTCCCTCCTCCCTCAAGATGCTTTTGAGCTGAAAATCATGGTCCTTTTACAGAACCTTTTATGGAACTTTTACAGTTGTCCTTAACCCCCAGTGACCAGCTCATTGATCTGCCCTAAACACCTTTATAAACCTCAGTAGTTACGTTGTAAATGACAAAYCAGCTCAAGGAGTCACCCAAAAAGCGTAAATTAAAGCTATCAAAGGTCAGATCGTGGCTTGAGAAAGCTGGAATGACTCAGTTTATCCAGAGCATGAGTGGGATCTGTTCCAGGTCTCATAGCATGAACTAAGAAATGCTTCCAGAAAAATACTCATCATTGTAAAATCTTTAGGATATGAAAAATAATAAGTAACTCAACATTGTTAGTAGATAGGGGTAAGAACAGCTTTTGAAACCTCTAAAGCAGGGGATTTTCTAATGTATTGTATTTTTAATTTTTGCTTATTACTACCTTGCTTTTCATACAAATCTTTATTTTGTAAACGGATTTTCCTTTTCTTCCATGTATTCCAGCCCTAAAACATTCCAGTGAAAAGTCCACAACATGAAGCTCATAGTGAGGCTTGAAGCAAACAAAAAAAAGGTTGGGTTTTTATTTTTTCCTTATTGAGCCAAAAATCACCCGTCATCCCAGCCCACAGCTACTCCCACGGGCAGCGCCGTCAGCGCTCTCACATCCCGCCCCGCGCCATTCCCGGGAGCTGTTCCTGCTGAACCCGGGCCAAACCCTGCCAGAGCAGCTCCGGGTGACACCAGGTGACACCCTCATCCTCAGGTGACAGCTCTGCCCCTCTGAACGTCAGCCAGGGTCAGCCCCACACCCCAGCAGGTTGTTGTGTTCTGCTCCCCCGTGAGCTGGGTGTCCATGGCTGGCACTCCGTGCATTCCCAACCCTTCTCCTRTCACCCATTTCCCTTTCTCCACCGAGCAGGGACATTTTGTGTCCCAGTTTAACCTTTGGTACCAGCAGCTCCAGGCTGGGTTTGTTCTGTTCCCTTCCTGCTGTGGTTTCCTGCTGCTRCCCATGCCCAAGGGGTGGATGAAARGAAGATTTCACAGAATCATTTCAGTTGGAAAACACCTCTGTGGTCATCAGGTCCAGCCTTTGATCCTGAATCTTGGATCCCCACTTTAAGCCCAAATAAAAACTGGGAGATTATAAACCCAAGCCTTTGTTTAATCTCCAYTCTTTGGGTGTTTTACTCCTTGTTTTGGCCTAAAGCAAGGAAAGCTCTGCATTGCCCRGGCTGGGCTCACACCAGGCCTTGGGATTTGGGTGAATGTTCCTCCTGCTCCAGAAGGCCAAAGCAGCAGTTTGGGAACTCTTCCTGTCATTGCTGCACTCTCAGAGCCAGTCCAGGATGGGTGACCTGTGTGTCCCTGTCCCCATCCACCTCCCAGGTCACCCCTGACTCTCCTGYCTGCTYCAGAACTTTYCCCTCTCCTTCTACAAACACTTTTCCTTCCATCCATGTAAAACYCAAGCTCACAAGATGCGTGTGCAGCTCYAGCTCTCATRATACTCAACCAATTTGACCAATATTTCCACTTTTTTTTTTTTCCTCTTTTTTTTTTTTTTTTTGKTCTGGAGATCCAGAGGGTGATCACAGCAGTTTCCTCTCTCTTCTTTGGAAATTTCCTTTATCCAGGAAGCCAACGTTGTGTGAGCCATGGCAGTGATGGTGAGGAGTGACAGAATGAACCTCACCTGGCTGRAGCAGCCACTGGCCCAGGCTGGAAAATCTGCAATCACTGTCGCAAAGGAAAAACTGGAACCTAAAAAGTCTCTAATAACTGCTCATGGCCTGGCTGTCAACTGGAGCTGCACTGACCCGCAGCAGAGGCTCTGGTGAATCCACCACTGGTGAGATATCRATTGTGGGGTGATTCAGAATGGCCCCACAGCCCCTCAGAACCACAGCCCCACACCCTACCCAGCCCCACAGCCCTTCCCAGCGCCCATCTGAGCGTGGCTATAAATACCCACCCCCATCATCCATCGACATTTAAATATAATGCACTGCCAGAGTGAGGGGTTTGAAATATCTGAAGGATGTGGTATCTTGGAAACCGATTGCCTCGAGTTGCCCAAATCAATTACAGAGTGAATCAACACACGGCTCCGGCGTGGGAGCGGTGAGCAGCCGGTGCTGCCACCCAGCCCTGTCCCCATCCGTGTGCCCATCCCTGTCCCTGTCCCTGTCCCCATCCCTGTCCCCATCCCCAGGCTGGGGAACAGCCCCAGGAGCCCCAGCTGCTCCTGTTCCCCCAGCACAGGGAGGGCACAAAAGGTTTCATGTCTTATTTCAGCTTCTCCAGCTGGAAGTTGAATTAAAAGGGAAAAAAAGCAACGGAAAATAATCTGTAAAGGTGATAGGATTCTTCATTTGGGGATGGTTGCACAAATTAAAGGGATTTTGTTGCTAATTGCTGAGAAGGATTATTTAGGCAATGTTTTCTACCTGTCATTCAGGCATTGCTGTGGAAATTGTGTGTCCTGGTTCTTGCTGAGGACAGATCATGGCAGCGTCGAGTCAGCTCACAGCTCCAGATGGCAGCGAGAAATGGCATTTTCAGCCACACTCTCAGGGTTTTACATGAAAAAAACTCATAGATAAATTAATATTTCAAAGAATGGAAACTCAGAAAATCATGTATTGCTGAAGAGTGACTGTAGAACAYGCAGAAATGTGTCCATGCTTATCAGTGGTTGGGCAAAAGGCACATTCCAGTGGGATTCCTCCCCAAAAAGGGCTAAAGGAGGGAGCCTGACTGGGGTGGGGTCAAACCCYGCTGCTCGTGTCTCGTGAGGAGCCCACAGCCCACTCCCCACACAGGAGCTGAACACATTCAGCTGYTTCATTCCTCCCCAATCAGTTCTGGTTCCTTGGCCAGGCTCTGTAAAAAGCCTGGAATTTTAAATAATGGTCCAAAAATGGGATGGTGCAGCCGGGAGAGTGTGGGCTGCTGAGAGAAGAGAAGGCTGAGCTAAATATTTGGCAGAATTAAGCAAACCAGGAAAGACATGTGGGCATAAAGAAATAATTCAATATTCAATTTCTGGCAGAATTCATGAAATCTGTTTATAGTTCGGATCACAGTGAGCCATTTATTACTATTATGGGACTGGAGGTCGGGGGGGGGGGGGCATTGATTGCAATGGGTTTGCAATTGTTACAGTGAGGAATTATTAACAGAATATTAAACCCGGGTTAATTAACCCATGGTCTTGGACCTGCTGGGTGTCTGTGCCCAGGTGACGTCCCAAAAATGGGCTTTTCTGATGTAGTTGCTGCTCTCCTGCTCTGTCCATCCTTGAAGGGGTGGGACCTGCTGGGTGACTTCTTCCAATTCACTTCAAATTCCCCTGAATTTTGGCTGAGCCCAAAACCTTTGGAAGAAAGAGGTTAAAAGGGCCTTKAACWGAAAATTTCACATTTAACAGAAAAGAGGAAGAGGCTGCTAAGGGAAGATTGAGGCTGGTGAGAATTTTTCTTTCAAAAAAAGTAAAATGAGTTTTTTCTAGTGAAAAATTCCACACAGTCCAGGATTATTTCAGATTTCCAGTAATAAATAACCAAGTGATATTTACATTGCAATATTGATAGTAGATAAAGCTGAAATTTTTCACATTTCCTGCTCTTTCCTCCCCCTTCCTTCCCCACTAAAATAACAACTGCAATTAAATAAACAGATAACACCTTTTTTCCCTTTTTCTTTCTTTTACCATGGCCCTTCCCCTCACCTCCTGCTGCAGGAAAATGGAGCTGGAGTCACCACCTCATCCTATGGAGCAGCTCTGGTGCCCCCAAACCTAAATCCGTGTGAGGAAATGAAATTGGAATATGCTCATGGTTTATGGCTGCACCTTCAGTCTGATCTCAGTCTCCTCTTTACCAAATGACAGATTCATTTTAATATTCATATTTCATTGAGATAAAAATAGTGGTTCATTCTGAAATACGAAGCATGGGGAGACTTCAAGGCATTTTTCCCCAGTTTCTGTTTCTTTTGCCAGCAGGTGGCAATGGAGCTGCAGCACCACCCGGCTCGGGGTGGGCTTTCCCCAAATCATCCGAGTTCAGGGTGCCAGGAACATTTGTTCATAAACCTTTAGGGTCAGACAGATTTAACTCCTCTCCATTCACGTTCTGTCTGGTTTTACCCTCCCTCTCTGCAGCCGTAATTCCAAAGCTGGGCGGGAGCTCCGCTCCGAGTTTGGGCGACTTTACAGCGTTCAGACTTTCATTGATCAGGTTTATGCGAATCTGCAGCGCAGGAGAGGCGCCGGGTGAGCCCGCAGGATGCGCAGGGATGCGGCCACACCGCCACCTGCCCGCCCCTGGCAGCACCGGCAGCGGGGGACCACAGGGATCGGCCTGAACATCGCCCCTGTATCCCTGAGCATCGCCCCTGTACCCTGAACATCGCTCCTGTATCCCTGAACATCGCCCCTGTATCCCTGAACATCGCTCCTGTATCCCTGAACATCGCCCCTGTATCCCTGAACATCGCTCCTGTATCCCTGAACATCGCTCCTGTATCCCTGAGCATCGCCCCTGTATCCCTGAACATCGCTCCCGTATCCCTGAACATCGCCCTTGTACCCCTGAACATCGCCCTTGTACCCCTGAACATCGCTCCTGTATCCCTGAACATCGCYCCTGTACCCTGAACATCGCCCCTGTACCCCTGAACATCGCCCCTGTATCCCTGAACATCGCTCCTGTACCCCTGAACATCGCCCCTGTATCCCTGAACATCGCCCTTGTACCCCTGAACAT